TAATGGTTTGTTTACTTCTTCATGACAATCATTCCTTTTTTATCTCAGACACTTATAAAAGCTCTTTTTTAATTGCAATTACAACTCTCATTCTATTGTAATTTTGTATTCACTCTTATCTACTCTTCGTGGTTGCCACTTGATGCTAATGCAATTCCATTTACATTAAGACAAACATCAAGAAATTTTTTCAATTTTAAGAGTAGAAGAATATTACGTTCATGAATGAAGCTCACTTTTAGAGATAAGATAGCTGTTGAATTAAAGGAACGAGTAAATTTATCATGAGTCTTTTATGCTATTTTTGCAGCTTTTACGCGAATTGTTTTTAAAGTTGAAATCATAAGTTTTATGTGCCATTTTTTATGAACTCAAAGATATTGAACTTTTTTTTTCACATTTAAAATTTTGTTTTTTCTTTTGTACAAGAAATTTAAAGCTTTGGAGTTGATTTTTAGTATGCAAAAATATTAGATTTATCTTTTATCAAAAAGTTTATATTTTAAGGAGATTACTTTTTGAATAAACTTACATTAAAGTAATGCAGGTTTTAGTTTTTGAAGAATTTATCAAGAAATATTGAAGTCTTATCAGAAGCTTTTGAAAGTTCGGTTAAGCATTTTAGAAATTAGGAATAAATTTTCTAATAAATAGGGTGAATATTAAAATTAGAACTTCGTCAGAGAAATTAATTTTATGCTTAAATCGTGTTGTCTTTTCCATTTGACTAGCCAGGACTTAACCTGCTCTTCTCAAGGTTTTTGAAACCTAGAAACTATTTAAATTTTTATATTCAAACCGTACTCACGTGGTTTTGTTCAGATTGAAAAATCAGTTTTTCGAATTTTGCGAGGAAATGGAGCAAGATAGCTTAAAATGTTCAGAGATGAAAAAATTGTGCTTGAAATTTTACATCATTTTCAAAAAACAGATTTTAAATTGGTTGCGGCATTGCTTAGAAAATCGCAAAATATGCTTTCTGTAAGCAAGCAAACAAGCAAGTTAATCAGCAAGAAATCTCAATAACGAGACATCGTAGAGACTTCTAGTTTTTTACATTTGATTCGTGCTGCTCTATAGAAGAGCTGTATTGTTTTTGGGCAAGGTAGGAACAGCCGTTGTTTCAGAAAAAGCAAAAAACTTTACTTTCTCTCGAATTTTTTAAAACAAAAGTTGTCTGTGATTTTCATAAAATTAAACTTTGTATGAAAATTTTTTTTAAAAAACTTTTAAGGGGACATTCACTTATTACGTAACGCTTTTAGGGGGGGAGGGGGGTCTAAGATTTTGTTACGGTTCAAACAAGAATTTTTTTTTTTCATACAAATTTTGTTACGAGGGGGGGGGGGGTCTAAAAAGTCATTTTTTCGCGTTACGTAATAAGTGAACAGCACCTAAAGAATATTTGGCATATTTGTCAAGCTTTATATCTTCAAATTTATGCTGAGCGAAGATTAGCTGACTCGCTAGCTTTATACCTTCAAATTTATGCTGAGCAAATCTTGGTTTATCCATAATACTTTTGATGGTACGGTGTGAATATATCCGCATTGGGTAGGGTTACCATCTAATTTTCATGAAAATACAGGACTTTTGGTAAATTTTTTCGAAAAAAACAGGACATAGAGTAAAATTTGAAAATTAACGGAAATTTTCGTGAAAATAATACAGGACCTGGAACAAAGTTTTCAAATTTATACAGGACGTGGTTTTGAAATACAGGACTGTCCGTTGTAAAACTACGCAGATGGTCACCCTAGCATTGGGTTTCTACCCGATACACTAGTTTTTTAAAAAAACCGTTACATTTTATTTCTGAATTTCATTGATTTACAATTTTATGAAGGCTAGCGCCAGCGGCTATTACAACCTGATTATAGATTTGAAATAATTTATTAATGATGATCGATGCGTTGACTAACATCCAAAATTATTTGATTATTTTTGTCTTCAACGGACGATTGCGTATTTGCAACTCTGAATGAAAAAATTTTTTTGTAACCCCCCCCTCTTTAAATTCCTGGCTACGCCCCTGCACAGGATACTTTAATGTACCTAGCCACAGTTTGCAATCATACAAACCGAGTTGCCATGAGTAGAACAGTAAAAAAAATTACCCAAATCCGACTAGACATTGTCTGGGATCGAACCCGGGTCATTAGGGTTGGTTGCTCAACACTCTAACCACTACACCACTGCTACTTTTTTGCTGCTACTATTTTAATAGTTAAGATAAAAATCGTTATGGGTAAAGGGACGTCTGCTTGTTAACATTTGCTTGATCAGTTTATATACTTTCATTTTTAAATATTTGAAAATATCAAAATTGCAAAATATGCTGAATAAAACCTTAAAAGTTCAATAACCATAGAGATGCAATTTTAATTTTAACATTTTTTTTGTCAACAATTTTTTAAAACAAGATTTCAAATTTATGATGATGAAAATTTATTTCATCTTTCTGTCAGCTTTCCCTAAATTGCTCCTTCTTTTGTAAATATTTTTGTCATTTCTCCTAAAAATATAATTTTTTTTATCATATCATGCAATTATAAATTTATGACATGAATTCTGCTCGAAAGGAAAAAACTTGTATCCTCTCGTTATTTTTTTGTCTGTGTCTTGTTGCAACATGAATTGCCTCAAAATAATTTTTTCTTTTTTTCTTTATCTCTTTCCTGCTTATGTTCATATAAATACCATAACATCATCGTCCTTTTATCCCAAAAATAATAATTTTCGTGTATATTCAGACGAGTGGAAAATGTTTGTCGGTATGTATGGATGAGATATACATATTATGGTACAAACAAGTACACACGAATGTTTCATGAATCTTAGAAGAAATGGAAGAAGAAGAAAAAAGATGAAAATCTTTCAAGAGCTTTTTTGTTTATTGAATTTTTAATAATTTATGGTGCAACATCTCAAGGTATGTTTGAGTAGTTTTTCACTTTGAATGAATTTTTGTTTCTTTATTCGTTATACGATGCTCATGAATAAGATGAATTGAAAGTCATTTCGGGAATTTCAATGACATGAGAAAGAGGATTTTAAAAGTATGTATGTAGCGTTGGGTTTTTGCATACCTGAGTTGAAAAAATGTTTAATTCATAAATCAGTGTTGGAGTTTGCTTTTGAGATAAATAGCTGTAGACATAAATTCGACTGAAGACGGTTCAAAATGTACATTTTCATTTAAGGTTTAAGAATGCTTGTACATTTTGTGTCTTAAGTTGTTTAAGAATCTTTTTGATGTTAAGTAAATTGTTGAATTACATGAGTTAGAGGTAGGCTGACCATATGCTTGGTTTTCAGAGGACAGACCTCTATTTTTAGCGTATTTTTGAAACTTGTTTCTAAAAGGTAGCTTAATAACAGAGTTGCGAAACAGGTCACCTGTGACAGGTGAGAACCTTTCAATTCCTTGATAATTTGTATGGTTTTGTTAGAAAAACCTTATAAATTATCAAGGAATTGTAGGGTTCTCACCTGTCACAGGTGCCTGTTTCGCAGCTCTGCTTAATAATACACTTTGTTCGGATGTTCGGGCGAAGAAAAACTTTTTAATTAGACATCATTCAACATTACCTCTATAATTTCAAATTTTTTCCAGCCGTTGTAAAATTTGAATTTCAAAAAACCGTTAAATGATAAACCTTTTCTGTATGGAAATTCATTGCTACAAATTAATAATTAGATAAGAGCTCGTTCACTTATTACGTAACGCAAAAAAACGAGTTTTTAGACCCCCCCCCCTCCCCCCCCCCCCTGTAACAAAGCGTAACAAAATCTTAGACATACGGAACTTATGAATCATGTTTCGACTAATCCCAAACTTTCTCCAATTTTTTACAGTTCAAAGACAATAATGTGAAATATGAAATCATAAAAATAACTGTTTCTGACTAGTTGACTTCAGTTACAACTTAATTAATGATAAAAGCACAGAAAACACAGCGCTTTGCTTCGTGTCCATCATTGTAAAATTGATTGAATTGTTAAAATTTTATGAAATCCATTTTCATGAATAAAAACAGAATAAATTCTCTTTCTCGCTTATCCGCGGGATAAATTCATAAAATTGATGCAATTCAGGAGGAAAGAGAGACTGTTGCTTCCAACGACCTCAATGAATATGTAATGCCTATGTACAATGTTTATCATGAATAAAAAAAATGTGAATTATCCATAAATGTAATTCCTTTTTTTGGCATGAATATGCACATATATTTTGGTAAATGTCCTGTTCACTTGATTTCCACTGTCTACTTTGGGATCGTTCACTTATGACGTCCAAAATTAACGGTCATTTTTCAAAAGAGATACAATGGATTTCCAGAAATTTCTATTTTTCTTTTCTTGTTGACCCCCCCCCCCCCACCCCCCCTGGACGTCATAAGTGAAAGACCCCTTTAGCGAATGACATGCTTTTTCCACATATTTGGAATTGCTCTGCATTATAAAAATAAATGTCAAATTGTAAATGTAATTAGATTTACCTGTGGATATGACGTTTGCTTTGTTGAGGATGTTGCTTTAAACAAAATTCATTGGAAACTTTAAAAAGTCGAAAAACTTCTGAAATTGAAAATTTTCTTTATGCATATAAATGTAAGAAATGCAAGTGCTTCCTCGAAAATCTTATATAAAATGCTCTAAACCTTCCAAGATTGCATTTATTTCAATCTTTCAGAGTACTTTTTTTTATCTACGATCTCAGTTTGCTTTTCAGTAAATTTAAACGAATTGAAGTTTATTAAAAACAGTTTTTAAACCTTTCAAATACATTAAAATTACCCCTAAAAAGTATGCAATCAGCAATCATCCAGCACATAAAATGTTCAATAATTTTAGAGGTTTCGTTTCAATTATTATGTCATGATTGTATCAAAAAAGCACATATAAGTTCCTACCACTACACAAGCTGTGATTAAACATTCGCTTTATTGAACATAGTTGCTGATGTCAAAATGATTAAATAAAACATGGAAAGAGGATTAAATGATAATGCAATTTGTGAGAAATAACTTTTTATTCATTTCCCTCTCTATATATTTAATTTAACATTAAACTTCCTTCTCTAGAACTGAGCCATCTGCCATTCCGTAATATGCTTTTCTGGCCATTCCAATAAACAGTCCTGTATCGACAACGCCGGGTATCATCATTATTTCCCTATTAATTCCATCGAAATCTGTTGTTGGAGATCCTTCAAAAAACCAATCAAGGATGAAATTACCATTATCTGTAACACATGGACCAGCTTTAGCTACTCCCATTCTTAGCTTTAAATCACCACCAAACAAGGACTCAATTCTGGTTTTAATTGGAACGTAAGCGATTGGTGACACCTCAATTGGAATCTTCTTGTATCGCTCTGTAAGATATTGTGAGTTTTTGGTATGGTCGGCAACGATAATTAGATTTTTGGCACATGATGCGACTATTTTTTCCTGTATATTGATATTAGCATATTTATCTCATATTGGAAGTAATGTTAATGCTTAATTTACCTGTAACAAGCATCCACCACCACCTTTGATGCAATTAAGTTCAATATCACATTCATCAGCTCCATCAATGGCAACATCCAGCACTGGATTTTTGTCTAATTCTCCCAATGTTAATCCATTGTCGAGGATCAAATGTTTAGCTTGAAAACTCGTCGGAATGCAAATGATGTTGAGATTTTCATTCCTTACACGCTCAGCAAGTCTTTGAACCCCATAAACAATAGTTGATCCACTTCCAATTCCAAGAACTATGTTATCCTTAACATGGTTGTCAATTGCTCGTTCCGCTGCAATCCTTTTAGCTGATTCTAAAGACATCTTTGGTTGATTCACTTGGGAGAATAATCTAATCAAGTTGAATGTATATTTGACTTTATTCCTCAAAAGCATATGATTAAAAATACGCGGCAAGCTTGATAATCACATGCAAATCTTAATAATTTATGGTAATGAATTTTTTAAGGTTAAAGTATGTCAGTGTTGTACATTTAATTTACACTGGTTCTATATGTTAATTTGCGTGCCTTGAACTTTTGGTTGTTAAGTGTTTGAGTAGGTAACTTAATTACACGGTAAATGTGTCTCAATATTAAGAAATGAGGAATATTTATTTTGTTTTTTGGTTTTTACGGTAAAATATGTATTGATAACTGCTGTTTTCACGTTTTATCACCAAAGTATTATGTCTTTTATTTATTTTTAATATTGAACTGTTAAAATTCCTTAATTTTCTGAAGAAATTTCAAGTTTCTTCAATCAAAACAAATTAAAATCAGTTGTAAACAACTGCGAATGGTCCATTTTCATAAATTTACGGCAATTGAGCCGTTTTTGGAAAAGTTTCACCACAATTCTAATTTGGGATCTCCTTATAACCAGAGATTGATCTATGTCCAGTTTTACTTAATTAAAGTGAAGTCAAAATCTCAAAATCATCAGAATTAGGGATTTCAATACCGGGATTACGGGATCAAGATATCCTTAGACTTTCTCACAAATTTTGTTAATTTTAAAGTGTAAAATAATGAAAACCAGGATGTTTTTACCAAATATTTTAGGAATTCTTTTTAATTTACAGTTTTCTTTTCAAAATTTTCTAAAGTGTTTAAAAAAGTGTAATCGTATGCCTATAGTAAATTCCAAAAAATTTGAACATTTTTGAATTTTAAATAGATTTTATGATCATTCGATAAAATCTATTATTTGAATTACAAATTATAGTTATTGATTTTTTATAAAACAAAAGTTTTTTTTGGGCTTTTTCCTTTAAAACAAGAGAAAGTATAATAATAAATAATAATAATAATAATAATAATAATAGCTCGACAAAAAAAAATCAAATTTTTACTGAAAATTTCAAATCATTTTTGATATGAAAGGCTTAAAGATAATCTTTATAAAAATTAACAAAAGCTTTGGGGCCGTTCACTTATTACGTTACGCAAAAAAACGACTTTTTTCACCCCCCCTCCCCCCCTTGTTACAATATGTTACAACTCACAACCCCCCCCCCCCCCCTGAACGTTCATAATTTATTTTATTTTGATAAAAAAGTGGAAAATTTTAAAAAATGTTTTTGGTGTGAATTTGTAAACAAATTTTTTTCGTGAACTTTTTTTTGAAAGACAGACTACAGTTAGAATGTTACATATTTCTTGACACCCCCCCCCCCCCCCCCCCTTATGTTACATTTTGTTACAATTTTTCAACCCCCCCCCCCCCCTCTAAAATGCGAACGTAATAAGTGAACGGCCCTTTCATTTAGGGTTGGGCAAATATTCGAATATTAGAAATTCAAAAATGAAAAAATACGTTATTTGTTGATTAGCATTTTTCAACTTGACTGTAATTTGTAAATGATAAACAATTCATATATGAGAACTAAAGATATTAAATTGTTACATATGCTATAATTAATGATTTTTTGTGTATCCTTTGGTGAAAAGCTTTCAAAAACTTACTGACTGTTAGAAAATTTGAATCACAAAAGACCGTTAAATGAAAAACTTTTTCTTTATGGAAATTCATTGGAACAAATTATGTAATTATACTATAACTAATGTTTTCGTAGTGCAACTTTTAGCGGGAAAATTTTCAAATATTTATTGACCGTTAAAACTTTTTAAAAGGCGACTTCAAATATTCTTTGATATCAAATTTTTTCAATTCAAAAAATCATGTTAAACAATTACTTAAATAGATCTAATTTTAATAGAAAAGCAATGGAAGTACTTTCTTTAGCCAAATACGTCGATATTTTAGTTGTAAGTTATTTAATTAATTGTTAAACATTTATTAAAAAAAAAATCACGATTAATAACGGTTATTTTTTGAATTATGTATATTCGAATATATATTCGAATATATGCGCACATTTATGTGCGCACATTATATTCGAATATATTCGAATACGATTCTGCCCAACCCTACTTTCATTGTAAAGTTAAAGAGTTCAGACAAGACAAGAAATGAAAATATTGATTTATTTGGAAAAACTTTAACTTTCTGGCTTAGTTTTCTACTTAAAATTTTTTAAATGATAAATACACTTAATTTGTAATTGAAAGCTCCTTTTTTGAACGTGTTACACGCGATTTTACACCAGATTCTGAACCGAATCTAATCCTGGGATCCCGGGATCAACAATTTCCAATACAGAATTGAAATTTTGGTCCGGTATTGAAATCGCCCAGAACATTATTCCATAAAATTCAACTTTTGCTACAAGCATCATTTCTAGAAATATTAGTCATCTCGTATCAATGACAGCTATCAAATGAGACATCCCTCAAGCAATAAAGTAAAACTTTTACAAAAATCGCTCGATTGCAGCAAATTCTGAAAATGAACCATTGTCAACTCAGTGAACAGCTACGGATGCGTTCAGTGATCAATTTTTTCATACATTTGATTCATTTTGAGAATTAACTGAAAACATCATAAACAAATGCATTTATCATTTAAGACATGAACAATAATATTAATTAAACTTATTTCTATTGTTTAACAAGACATTTTGTGTTAAAAAAGCGACAAATTTCATTCACTGCAAAAAAAATTAAATTATCTTACTGAACGCAAAAAATCGTCGTCTGCCAACACAACAACTAAGGTTTGGTTCTGTGTAATTTGTTGGAACTAAAATAAATTGAGATTTCATAAAACATAGATTTGTGTGAAAAGTACGGACATAAAATTAATTAAAGTGAGTAAAAATAATTAAAAAGCATTGAAGATTTAACATTACAACTGGATTATTATCAATTATTACAGAGAAATGGATCAAATATTGAAAGTTTACGAACCAGCACGAGCATTTACAAAAGACTCGATCAGATTAATTAAAAGATGCACAAAGCCTGACCGTCGTGAGTTCCAGAAGATTGCTCTCGCTACAGCTATTGGTTTCTGTATTATGGGATTCATTGGATTCTTCGTTAAACTCATCCACATACCCATCAACAACATTATCGTAGGCTCATAAAAGTTTTTTTTTTTCAACATCCAAAAGATCCAGAAGAAAATATTTTATGATTGCAGAGCAAAATCACTATGCATTAATTAAATTTATATTTTTTTCCTCTCAAATCATCCTTAAGTGAAAAAATATTGCAATTTAAGTTATATGTTCTTTCTTAATAAAACAAAATCCATAAAAATTTAATTGTGATTTTTCTATGTGCGTAATTGAGTAAATAGAAAGTTATACGTGGCAAATAGTTGGCAGTTTTAACGGTAGCATAGACTTAATTGAATGTTTACAGATAGTCTAATTGTGAGCTATAAAGTATGATTTAGAAGCATATTTGATGATTTTCAGGAAGTTTTTGTGATGTTTTTAAAAAGCTTATCAACTTCCACGTTGAAATTTTATACGTTGGGAATAAATTTGAAATTATTAAAGTCATTCTAAATGAATTTTGAAATTGTTCCGTTATATTATAATTTTGACTTACCTAATTTGATCTTAGTTTTTTAGCGCATTTTTGAAACTTGTTTCGAAAAGGTAGCTTAATATGTCGCTTTGTCTGTTCGTTCGGGCAGAGAAAAACTTTTTAACTAGACATCGTAGAGAGTTCTAGTTTGTTTTAGTAGCTCAGGTCCATTGTTTTATTTTCGGGAAATGCATTTAAAAGTCTTGAAACAGTGTTTTTGTACTATAATTAATGATTTTTATATTTCATATGTAAAAACACGTGATTAGAGCGTTTGGAAATTCGAATTTATTTCTACCGTTGAAAAATTTTGAATCTCAAAAAACCGTTAAATTACCAAGCCTTTTTATATGAAAATTTTTTTTGCAACAGACTGTTATTTATACTATAATTAATGCTTTTACTGTAACTTTAGGCAAGATACTTTCAAATTCATACGACCGTTACAAAATTTGAACTTCAGAAAACCGTTAAATGATAAACAATTTATATAGGAGAATGAAAGATATTAAATTGATATATATACTTTAATTAATGATTTTTATATTCACACCGTTATCACGTGTGAATCTACTGGTTTTGTTCAGATTGAAAAATCAGTTTTTCGCATTTTGTGAGAAAACAATGCAAAATTGGTTATAAAAGGTCACAGAAGAAAAGTTTGTGCCTGAAATTTTACATCATTTTCAAAAAACAGATTTCAAATTGGTTGTGGCATTGCTGAGAAAATCGCAAAATACGCTTTCTCAATCTCAATAACAAGACATTGTAGAGACTTCTAGTTTTTTACATTTGATCCGTGCTGCTCTATAGAAGAGCTGTATTGTTTTTGGGCAAGGTAGGAACAGCCGTTGCTTCAGAAAAAGCAAAAAACTTTCCTTTCTTACGAATTTTTCAAATTAAAAGTTCACTGTGATTTTTTTTTATTTTAAATTAAACTTTGGATGAAAAAAATTTTTTTTAACAAAGAACCAAAAAGGAAATACATTTTCAATTATGAACTAGGGACAGGCTTAGTCAAAATCTAGTTTTTCACTTTTTTTCTTCGAAGGTTTATCCAATTACAGTAAAACTTTGTGTGAGTATACTAATATTTATACAAAACAGTTTTAAATATCTAAAGCAAGAAATGAATTCTATATGTCGTCAGACCCAAATTTTATAAATATGGCTGTACATTCAAAAACAACGTGACTTAAAATTTTGTCCAAAAAAAATGATTTTTATTAATTCAGAAATGTGTGACCTGAAGATTAGAATGCTCATACAAAGTTTTACTGTATTTGGATTTATCCTCGACGAAAAAAGTGACAAAATTGATTTTGACTAGGGTCGCCCCTAGTCCAAAATTGAAAATGTATTTCCTACTTGGTTCTTTGCTCAAAAAAATTTTAAGATGATTTATTTGTATTTGTTAAAGCACTAGAATATTTATGCAAAGTTTCAATCCATTTGGATAAACCCTCAAAGAAAAAAGTGACAAAATTGATTTTGACTAGGGTCGCCCCTAGTCCAAAATTGAAAATGTATTTCCTACTTGGTTCTTTGCTCAAAAAAATTTTAGGATGTTTTATTTGTATTTGTTTTAAGCACTAGATTATTTATGCAAAGTTTCAATCCATTTTTATAAACCCTCGAAGAAAAAAGTGACAAAATTGATTTTGACTAGGGTCACCCCTAGTCCAAAATTGAAAATGTATTTCCTACTTGGTTCTTTGCTCAAAAAAATTTTAAGATGATTTATTTGTATTTGTTAAAGCACTAGAATATTTATGCAAAGTTTCAATCCATTTGGAT